TTTCACATGTGGTTCAAGTTAATATCTTATCCTGAATGTTTCCCTCTAGTTGGCTGTGCTGGTTTTTTAATATTCACAATCGTCTTTTGTTTCACATTAAGGATATGTCTTTCATTACTCACCAATGCAAAAGTACACAATGATGCTGGTAGCACTTCATTTCTGAAATGTCTGAAATAATTGTTTTTATTGTGTGTTACCCAAGGACCACTCCATGACTAGAAACATGGAAGCATATCAAACTCATAGAAAGCCAGAACATGACCCTTTCTCATCTTGCCCATACAGAAATTTCTCTATTAAAAAATAAAGTTTCATCATATTGTCTCATATTTGCTTGCTCAATCTTCAATTTAATTAAGAATCATGATAAATACATTTTTGCTTTCTTTATATGGCTTTTAAATCCGCCACAGAATTTTATCACATAGTGAAGTTTAAGCAATATGTGGCTGACTTCACACACATACAGACATACATATGCCCACACACATGTATGTTCCCACACACATATTCACGTGTGCATATCTGACCCTTTGCTTCCACCCAGGATGTGACTGATTCAAGTTCATAGGAATCAAAGAAACGATATTTTTTCTTGGCCAGCACCACACCAGGTCTCACTACAGTATTTCCTGTAGTGTGAGCTCATCTAGCCTCACCTACCCTGAATAACTTCCAACCTTGCACCATGATGGAATGGGAGTGTTGAGAACATATTTGCAGGCTTTTGCTTGGCTCTTACCTATATCTAGCAAGTTGAGGATGCAAAACCTTAAGCAGGCTTTTTCTGGTCTCACTATTTGTCACAAATATGACCATGCTTTGAAAAATATTGTTCTCAAGCCGGCACTTTTTGTTTTATTCACTTGGGCCTTGCATGTTCCAGCTCTGGTCTTAACACACTCCTGACAGGGTCATAGGGCTTGTCTGTGGTGTTCTCACTTCACTGTGGTTGATCTTGGTTATCCTTCCTGCCTTCTGGACTGAACTTCGATTTCATGGGAACCTCATCCAGCATCTTCTTTTTGTTCATTTCTGTTTTCACCTTCTATGCCTCCTTCAGTTAATTGGAGGAAGGTGCAACTTTAGCATCTTTGAATGGCTGATGGAGCTGACACACACACTGGAGTAGAGAATTGAAGAAATTAAGAGGATAGTTCGGCCCTTCTGCCTCAAACAAAGGCCCCCATTTGAATTACCTGGATAACTATTTCAATTCTCCCTTCCCTTTCATCCATATAGCTTTGGGGAATCCATTCCTTTTGTTCTTCAATGCAATGCAGAGTCTCAAAATAACTGTCACTCATCCATGCCACTTCTCAATTCTGGCTAATGAAATTCTTCAGCATATCTGACTTAAATCTTGCTTAGGATACTCCAAGTCTCCTTCGCCTATAGGCCATGGAAATGGAAACAGCTCATGCTGAGGACAAAACCAACAGATCCCCAGCAAAGCAGGCATAATGATACAAATAGTGAGGCCTTCATGGCCTGAGAGATTTTTTTTTTCTTGGACTCACATACTACTATTCCTGGAGCTGGGAAAAAAAAAAAACCTGCTGCTGGGAGACCAGCAGCATTTTAAGAGATCCCATTTCTACTAAATGCTGGTCCTCAGTTGGAGAGGTACTTTAAACCAATTCTCTGGAAACACTTAAAATTCAAAACAGTTGCCACCTACATTTGAGCTTCCAAAGGGCACAGTGAGGCCATAGACCAAACATTGACCTTCTTTTTAAACCAAATATCCACTTACTGAAGAGTGTGTTGTCAGATAGGGGTGACCATCTGATGAAGTATAGCAACATGAAGTGATATGGGTGAGAGGTCTATGATACAACAAGTACCACAGAATACCTGCGGTGACTGAGAAGTGTGTGAAGGTGAGTGCCACTGGCATCGCCAATGGTTAGGACAACCCTGATGGAGACAATCTGCTTTCTAAGGAATGATAGATCATACCTTAAAATCAACAACTAATACAGTAAGCATCACAAACGAGGTCTCACTGGGATGGGGATGAGGGCATATCCAGAAAGGAATGTGATATAACAGCAAAAAGCATCAAAAAAAATTTTAAAGTCCTTTATCCCCAGGCAGGACTACAGGTGACTGAACCCTCTAAGAGTTCCACAGAAAGAGATTCTCTACCTTCACCTTAATCTCAAAGAAAGTCTTCCGTGGGACTAAATTATTTCTCTAGTGGCCATGTCCTAGGGGAGAAGTGGTACTCATCCTCGAGTGCCTGATGACGGTGATGCTAAGAAGAGCCTAGACTGATTGTATTTTCATAATTATGGAAATGTGACTGGTAGAAAAGTTTGCTGTAGTGGAAACAGCTCTATATTTAGATCCAAAGGAATCAGGTTCAAATCCTGGTTCAGCTACTTATCAAATGTGTGACCTTCATCTCTCGAGACCTTAGTTTCTTCATTAGTAACTTAATTAAGTTGGATTAGATAGCCTCTAAGGTGCATTCCAGCTCCAAACCCAAAACACGATAATCCTTCATATAAACATTCATTAGAGTCCTACTCAACCAGCTTAATCACGGTATGGGAATGTTGTGACATCGAACAAACTATGCCCGCAGGGCACAATTCCAGCAGGATCTACCACGTTCAAAAGGCTCCAAGCATAGACCAGTATTTCTGACTAAGGATCAGCCTTACCTAAGTTCAGAACAACTTATTGCCAGAAAGGCAGCCACCAGGTGATAAGAGCTCATCAACTAATAAAGACTCCCTGCTCAGGCATCGAGCCTATTTGTCACCCCTTAGAAATTTCTGTTTCAATGAATAGTAATTCAGGAGGTGAAAGTTATTTAACTACAGTTACTTTAGACTGAGTCTGTTCTGTACTTAATACATGTATGTACTCTTCCCCCCCCCAACTAGAATGTAAACTCCTTGAGGACAGGAACTGTTTTATTTTTAAAGTCTTTGTATCTACACTTAGCACAGTTCTTGGCATATCATAGTTGCTCGCTAAATTCTGGGTGAATTGAATGGATTTTTGCCCAGTGTTTTTGGAATATCCTTGAGTGGAACCACCTGATAACCAGTGTTCCATGCTCCCCAACTAGAAAGACATCAATATAGGCCCTGTAACACTCCCAACTTTAGCCCACAGTTTGGCAGGGGGGAACAAACTAGAAGGACCATCCGCCTCTGCAAAATCGTGGCTCTCTGAAGTGCTGAGGTGGATAATAAGTATAAAATGACCTGCTTAGAACTAGAATAAAGCCTGCTCCTAAGAAACTCCCAATTCAATTGGGAGATAAGACTAACTAATACTCATGAAACTATCAAGAATATGGCATTTATTGATTTTCTCCACTAGACAAGAAATGCTTAAAATATAAAAGACTCATAAACATGCATTGATAAAAAATTGACAAAGAATTAAAATATTGAAACACATAATGGGACTGCTGAATAGATAGTTCGTATTCAGCTAGGATCTATACAGAATGAGCAAGTCACAAAGTTCAGACCTCCTGGCAAGTAGGGATGTGGCTTGGGCATTAGCCTTTGAAGTAATCAATCAATCAATCAATCAGTCAAGAGTCTTTGAGCATTTACTATGTACCAGGCAGTGTGCTAAACTCTGGGGATACAAAAAGAGGCAAAAAATAATCACTGTCCTCAAGGAGCTTCTAATCTAAGAGGAGAATCAATAAACAAGTATATACAAACAAGCTATATACTAGAAAAATAAATAATTTACGGAGAGAAAGCATTTGAATTGAGAGGTTGGGAAAGACTTCTTATATAAGTGTAGAAGATGAGATTTTAATTGGAACTTAAAGGAAGCCAGGTAGCCAGTAGGCAGATACAAGGAAAGAGAACATTCCACGCAAGGGTACAACCACAGAAAATGCCAGGAACCAAGAGATCTATCCTTGTTCATGGAACAGTAAGGAGGCCGGAGTCACCAGGTCAAAAAGTACATTTTGGGGAGTAAGGTGTAAGAGGACTGGTAAGGTAGGAGGAAGCTAGGTTTTGGTTCTTCAACTGAATAATCCTTTTGGGTTTTCCTAAGTAAAGGATCTTCTCCTTTGAGAAGCATTACATTTGCAGGAATTGCATCTCACTGCCTGTCAATATTCAGACTCACAAGAAGCTGGAAATATCCATTTCTCAGGATCATTGGTCAGTCATCTGTATTCAGGAAAATAAATGAATGATGAATGAATGAAAAAGCATTATTAAATGCCAAGAATTATACTAAACGCTAGGAATATAAACACACAAAGTAAACAGTCTCTGCTCCCAAGGAGCTTATGTCCTAACAGAGGACATACAAAGCAGGGATTTGAGGTCTAGCCCCAGGTTCCATTAGGGCAATTTCGGGGTCTTGCAGCAGCCATTGATGCCAGAAGTTGGAGGGGAGAAAAATCAATTCCCCATCTTGCTGGAAGTCCAAGGGGAGTTCTGGGGTTAGCTGTATCTCAACAAAGAGGCCTCTTCAGAGGCCAGTGACAGAAAACCATATCTCTTTGCTCCTTATGGCCAACAGAACTCTTCCTGACTTAGACAACAATCCTCTTTGGTTCAGCCTCACAATCATGAGGCGTGTTAAGGGATTGTTGCACCATCCCAAAGTATGAATCCTTTGGAACTTGGCTAAAATACATTTTTCTCCCCATAGAGGCAAAATATACATACATGTCCAACTTCATGAGAGGTATTCAGAGTTGTCAAACATTGCACCCCATCCTCCCCTGAATGCTGTCCCAAACGTTTCTGGAATAAACCAGATTACAACGTAATTGGGAAGTTAACAAAATGAATTAAAATACATCAGAATATAGATAATGCTACTATGTGGTTTTTTAAGTTGTTATGTGGCCCACAGGAATCCTTATATGATTTAGTGGCCACTGCACTTTCTGTGGCGCAGTGGGTAGAGTTTTGGGCCTGAAGACAGGAAACTTGGGTTCAAATCCAGCATCAGATACTTACTAGCTGTGTGACCCTGGGCAAGTCACTTCACCCTGTTTGCCTCAGTTTCCTCATATGCAAAATGACCTGGAGAAGAAAATGGCAAACCACTGCATTATCTTTGAAAAAAAAAGTGACAAAAATTGGACACTGAACAACAACAAAAAATACTTAACCTATATCATTTCATTTGATCCTTACAGCAACCTTGATGGATAGATGCTATTATTATCCTCATTTTACAGATGAGGAAACTGAGATTAACAGGTTAAATGATTTGCCTATGGTGATCATAACTAGTAAGTATCTGGAGCAGGGTTTGAACCTAGGCCTTTCTGACTCCAAGTCCTGTGTTCCTTCTACTCTTCCACCCAACTGCCTAGGTTAAATGGTCTGATTTTATTTTAACCTGTCTCCTAAGTCCCATATTGGCTTTGCAGAAATAATGATTGTCTGAGTGTGACAATCCATTTGTGTAAGTGATTGCCTCAGTTTAGCTTCGTGTTATTTGTTTAAGAATATCTGAGTGCACAGTACAGATTAGGTTAGTTATATTTAGGTGAGAAGAAAGCTCAAATAGTGGGTAAAGAGCTGACCCAAGATGGGAAGGACCCAATTCAAGCCCTGTCTCTAACACAAATTAGCCCTGAATAAGTCACAACTTCTCAGCCTCTAAGGCATTATTTTAATATATATAATATTAGAAGCTCCTATATAATATTAGAATATATAATATTCTATATATCCTGTATAATATTAGAAGCTCTCTAGAATTTGGAGAATAGGTGTGAATCTGCTTTGGTAAACGGAGTTCCTTTACCACAAACTCCTTACACAAATGAAATCATAGGTTAAGTCAAAAAAAAAAAAGAAGCTAGTTAACTCCAAAGACTTGCTAAAGCCATAGAAAGAAGAAAAAGTAAAATAGCCTTTATAAAAAGTCTTCCACATTTATAAGTAATCTTTGTGCCTCAGTTTCCTCACCTATGGCTGTCAGCACCAAGGGTCCATCACTTTATTCATTCATTCCCAGAATCGAAGGAACTGAGACCATCAAATGCAACCTGTAAACAAGAATCCATTTATTCTTCTGTTATTTCGCTCAGCAAACACTTATTAAGAGCTTACTATCGAGAATGTCCTGTGCTGGACATTGGGGACATGCATAACACAGCACTGCATTAGTAGATGTTGCAGAACTCCAAGTTAGAAAGACCTGGTTTTGAATCCCACTTCTGATGCTGACTCAAGCAAGATCACAAAGCTCTGTTACCTACTGTTACTGTAATTCTGTGGATGGTCACAAATACAATTTGTTGCCTTCGCCAACACAGAAATAATGAAAAACAATGAATAGAAATGTGCAGCCCAATAAAATGCATGGTCTCCCTGGCGTAATAGGTAACACCAAGAAAAAAGGAAGGAGGGGAGCTAAGGGTGGAGAAGTACATGCAATTAGCATAATCAGCATCAAAGAAGTGTCAGAATATAAGAATTAATGAGCCCTAAGTCAGCCACACAGGTTGGTCCAGGCAGGATAGGGCAGCATGCAAAAATAAGCAACCTGTGACCAAAGTAGGTGGAAAATATACAGCAGAGGGACAGAGATTATGGTGATGATCCAGGCAAAATGCAAATTCTGCAGGTGCTGCATCTATGTGTCCCTCATCTGAAACATGTAGGCTGTGTGACCCTGGGCAAGTCAGTTGGTGCTCTAGACGACTTTCTGAGATGACTAGTAGCAGAGGAACAGCCAACTCACACTGATAATTGAGAGCGGTGTCCTTATCAGATGACTCCCCATTCTAACAAAGTCACAGGTCCTTGTTCAATCCCTATCCTTATGTGTGTTATTGTTGTGTTCAGTCATTTCAGTTGTGTCTCTTTTGTGGGGGGACAGTGTGTTTCTTGGCAGAGATACTGGAGCGGTTTGCTACTGCCTTCTCTAGCTCACTTTATAGATAAGGAAACTGAGGCAAACAAGGTTAAGTGATTTGCCCCAGGTCACACAACTAGTAAGTCATCTAAGGTCAGATTAGAATCCAGCTCTTCCTGACTCCAGCACTCTCTATTACACCACCTAGTCACCCTATACATGTATGTATACACACCCACACATATTTTGGGTATCCCAAAAGTCTGAGTACAGTTTGAAGCTTTAATAGCTTAAATGCACGCATACATACACTGAGGCAGTTAGATGGTTCAGTGGAGAGAGGGCTCAATGGGCATGGAGTCAGGAGGACCTGAGTTCAAATCTGCTTTCAGACTCTTAACTATGTGACTCTGGGCAAGTCACTTAACCTCTGTTTGGTGTCATCCACTGGAGAAGGAAATGGCAAACCACTCCAGGATCTTTGCCAAGAAAACCCCAAGAATTGGGATGCTCTGGTCCACAGGATCACAAAGAGTTAGACATGACTGAATAATTGAACAATAAACTTACACATGAATACATTTGCATGCATACAGGGTGTCCCAAGAATCTTCCTGCGGTTTTGAATTTACCAGCCTAAAATTTTAAGCTTAATAGCATGTAATTGCACTAAGACTTTTTGGGATACCCTGTATGTGTGTTGTGTGTGTGTGTGTGTGTGTGTGTGTGTGTGTGTGTGTGTGTAAGCTGTACACAAATGGCCTCTGAATGCTATACACTTACACACACACAGAGAGACAATGTTAATAACGTGACTAACATTATGGTGGTGGATTTCACTGATCAACAAGCATTTTATATGTACCTACTACATGCCTTCAATATGCTGAAGGAGATAATTTCTTTAAAAATAGTGGCAGGGTAGACAATAGAAAAAAAATACAAAAGCAGTAAACTTGAGAACTATTGCCCAAATTAAACCACCTTCCTGATCACAGAAGACTGTGAGTCCAGCCCAGTCCCAAGCCTGTGCCCCTGCTATCAGCCTCCTTCCATCTAGCCTAGAGGAGTGAGAAATGGTGGGTTAACAACTTTCCCATCAGATAATCAAGACATGGGCTTTATCTAAATGTTTTGCCTCCATCATCTCTTGACACTGTACCAACTGATTGACAAGAATTTAGAATTCTACAGTCACTGTTTCTTCCACAGAAGACAGAAGGTCTCAAAGGGCTGGCAGGGTGTGATTGCATCAAGCACAAAGCCTGACATCAGTAGGCACAGGAAAAAGCCTCACCATGTGCAACGGTACTGGCATGTCAGAGTCCAAAAGTCTGGTACCGTCAAGTAGCAGGTGGAAAGGGGATAGGGGTAGGAAGCTTCAGGGTCTACAAACCCAGCAGAATAAGGTACAGCCCAGGGAAAGGTTGCACCATTTCCTCCCTCCCTTCCTTTCTTCTTTCCTTGCTCCTTTCCTTTCTTCCTCCTTTCTTCCATCCTTTCCTTCCTTCCTCTCTCCTTTCCTTCCTTTCTCCCTCTCTCTTTCCCTTTTTCCTCCTTCCCTTCCTTCTTTTTTCCTCCCTCCCTTCCTGCTTTCCTTCTTCCTCCTTCCTTCCTTCCCTCTCTCCTTTCTTCCTTCCCTCCTTCCTTCCCTTGTTCCCTCCCTTCCTTCTTTTCTTCCTCCCTCCCTCACTCCCTTCCTCCTTTCTTTCCTCCCTCCCTCCCTCCCTTCTTTCCTATATTCTTTCCTTCTTTCTTCTTTATCCGTTTTCAGCCTTTAGGTTTCTGGATTCTACCCTCCCTCAAGACTTTGTAGGTGATGTCATCTCGCTGCACTCTCTCATAGAATTCTAGTGGATATAGTTTCTCAAAAAGAGAATAATATCATTCCCAAGCAGATGCTTGGTACCCCTAGGGACACTACACTCCCTTACATACAAAAATAGAAGTATAATCCATAAGAACTATGATGAAATCCTCCCAAAGTTTCCTTCAAATTGCAGAAGAGAGAAATGAGTCTCCCTTATGTGCACCACAGCTCACTGACAACCAGCATGCCCTTAAGCAAATCATTCCCCTCCCTAGGACTTCCTTTCCTCATTTATAAAATGTGAGAAGTTGATCTATGTTATCAGAAAGAAAAGAAGAAGAGTAGATAGGTAGGTGGGCTGGAAGGTAGGTGGGTGAGCCAGAGGGAAGGGAAGGAAGGAAGGAAGGAAGGAAGGAAGGAAGGAAGGAAGGAAGGAAGGAAGGAAGGAAGGAAGGAAGGAAGGAAGGAAGGAAGGAAGGGAGGGGGGAGGAGGGAGGGAGGGAGGGAGGGAAGGAAGGAAGGAAACATTCATTTATTAAGTGCTACTCTGTGCCAGGAACTGTGTTAAGCGCTTTACAAATATTACCTATTTGATCCTCACAGCAACCTTGGGAGGCAGGTATTATATTTTTGTCCCCAGTTTACAGCTGATGAAACTGAGGCAGCCAGAAGTCAAATGCCTTGCCCAGGGTCACACAGCTAGGAAGTGACTGAGACTGAATTTAGGTCTTTCTAACTCCAAGCTCAGCGCTCTGTCTCTAGCACCACCGAACTACTTTCCACCTCTACATCCAATGACTTTATGATCCTTCTTCTCTATCTGTATAAGTAAATTGAATAATTTCTATCAGAATCCTATTCTTACAGAGTGCACAACCATCTGGCCCCAAAGACCTGAGATGAATTCTTCACAAAAGCCAATCACCTGAGGATGCATAATCTTTGACTCAAACCTCTGTAACCTATCAATGATTGCTGGTAGTCATAGAGAGAAACTTGGCAAGATTTAACCTTTTTTTAGTATATCAAACTACAAATATTTATGGGCTATTGTTTATCAATTATTACAATTTGTAATTGTTGTTAGTGAGCTATGAACTTAAATTGTTTGTCATAAATAATTCACAATATTTCCCTATTTTGTGAGTTTGCATATTCTTTAGGCCATGGAAACCCCGAGGAACATTTACACCTGCATACCACTTTCTGGATCAGACTTCTATTCTGAGTATTCACCATGTTTTTTGACATTCATCCATGGGCTGAAGCAACCTAGCTTTGCCCATTAGTTTTCCTAGAAGGGGATTTTGTGGACTGCCATAGTGGGCCAGAGGATCAGCTTCAGACAGGTTATGGAGAGATAAAACTAACTTTCTATGTCCAAAAGGCTATATAGTGTCATTTAAGTTGTCTATGCCACTCAACCAAACTGAACCAATAAAGGTCAACACATTTTTTTCCATCCATTGTAATGCCAACTGCTGAGCCATTATATGGTGCTGCCTGCTTTATCAATTTGGTTATTAATAGATTCTTGTTGAATTGAATTGTCAAGAAGGCTGAAATAGCTATACTAATCATTTCATTATATATTTAGCTGACTGAATTAACGACGAGATTGGATTAACTGTGGAATCATCCAGTGGATTGCTTGGTGACCAATTGCCAAAGAACTCTTCCGACCTGGTCTCTCTTGGAAGGAATGATTTGGAAACAGGTCCACTTTGGAGGAATTTAGCAGGTTACTTATTAAGTGTGGCAAGAATAAAGATTGTGAATTTTCTTCCACAATCATAGAAATTCGTATCATATTCATATTCACCATCAGAGAAAGCAAGGGAGAAAGCATTTGGAGCAGTGTTCTATGAACCACTGGTTCACATTTGTCTTTGTGTTTGTAAAGCTCACATGGGGTATCCATGAAAAAGTTTGCATAAGAATGGTGACATTAACAAATGTGTTTGCATGGAAGCACATGTTGGCAAGGAGACCCCTGTTGGCTCAGGACTAGGAAAAAGTATTTAGCATAAATTAAGAGCCTTACAGGATTTATCCATTTGGACAATCAAAAAGTGGCCCTTTCCCTTTACATGGATTTTTTTGTTGGATTTTTGGAAGGACCAGTAAATGGGGCTAGTGTGTATGTCAGGAGACATGGGCAGGGAAAAAGAAGGGAGTGTTCTTCAGGTATGAGCCATGGTGTTTGAATCTAAATGTATCAAAAGGATATGGCAAATTGTCACCGAACATGCATGCCCTATATTTGACAGCACTCCCATCATATTCTTATTTCCTTTTTGGGTAGAGGGGGAGAAATACATTTGAAAATTTTAAATGGGCCACAGTATATCTGGAAGGTGCTCCAAAAATCCTCTAGG